GGCCGGGCGCTCTCCGGCGCTCCTGGGCGGGGGCGGCGTGCAGTTCACAGAGGAAAGCAGGTGCCATGCGTGGAGCTGCTGCGCGAGTGTCCCCCGGCCGGTGCCGCGCAGCCAGCAGTCTCTCCACCGCCCTGGCAAGCCTCCTCGGGCCGCTGGCAGCTCCCCTGCTGCCTCGCTCCTCTGCACCTTAGTTGGGGTTTGTCTCCCGGCTGCTGCTTTGCTCTCGGCCCAGCTCCCGCTCTTTGTCTGCTGTGGAGGAGGAGGAAGAGGACGAGGAGGAGGAGGAGGAGGATGAGGAGCTGAGGGTCCGGCCTGAATGCTTGTAGGCTGCAACGAGCTCCTGCAGCCGCTCCGGCGTGGGCTCCCACTTGGCAAAGCCGGCACTGTTCTGCAGGAAGAGGACGGCCGTGTTGTGCACGGCCTTGTAGTACATCTCCTCTCTGCAAGGGAAGACAACGGGCACTCAGCGTCTCCCACAGCCCTCCTGCCCAGCAGTCACACCGCTGCCACCCAGACCCACCGCCCAGCACCCACCCCTCCTCTTCCTGCACGTCACGTTTACGACAAGTTTTCGTCTCTGGTTTTCCTCACAATATTCTGAGGAAATGAGCAGGCAGAGTGCAGCGTCAGGCACTTCTGAGTCAAAGGTTGAGGCTCAGAACTTTCGGAGAAGCACGGAGGCTGCACAGCCACGTAGCTTCCTACCAGCACGTGCACCGGGGACATCGCTGTCCCCGCAGAACGGGACCCATCGTGGTGAGACAACAGTCGGAATCAGGCACAGAGAACCTCAGTGTTTAAGCACTTGTTGCTTCAACGTGAAATTCACAGCACGCTGTATGCCTGTCTCACAAACGCGGGGCGATTACGGGCTGTGTTTTTCCTTCCTGCTCCCTACTTCCCACTGAGCTCAACCAGGGACAGGGGTTTCTGTCACACGGCTTCAGGAACGCTTCTCAGAAGGACCCGAGAAACAGGCCTACTTTTTGCAGACGTGCTGAGAGCCGCTGCGGTACTCGTGGTCGAAGGCGGGCAGGATGAGCTGGTGCCGCTTGAACTTGCTCTGCTCCATGCGGGTCAGGGCTGGCGTGGGAGGGTCCCGCCACTCGGGGATGAAGACGATGAAGGAGAGAGGCTCAGTGGAGCTCTCCAGCAGTTTCTAGTTCAACGAGAGAATGAACCACCTCAGCGCTGGCTGAGCAATGACAGGTTAATGAGTTCTACCAAAAGGAAGCACTGCTGCTTCCAGAGCGGTGCCGCAGCGGTCACCACCCTTCGCCTGCTGCGTTACGGCCCTGCTGGGAGGGTGCAGGAGCAGCGGGGAGAAGAGGACGGAATGCACAGCTCCACTCAGAACAACTCCACGGGTGAGCAAACGTACCTCAAAGTGGGAGACCATGGCATCCATCAGCTCCTCACAGAACGGAGGATTTGCCTCAAAAGAGCCACTTAAAGGGAAGAAATCCAGGCACGGGCTGGGGGAAAGAGGCAAAGATCCCCATCAGAGAGGCCAGAACTCTAATTTTCACCCTTAAAAAGCATCCCTTGCCTCAGAAAAGGCAGCCACACTCTCAGAAAGCCCAAATCCCCAGCAGCACGGGGTCTGCTGCGCCTAACAGCAGGACTGGTCAGTGGGGACCCGCTGCACCCATAGTCACCGAAGGTGACTGCTGACCCGAGCTGGCTGCTCGAGGGCCCAGGTCTCCCGTTCTCCCAAGCAAGGGCGAGCGCTGGCAGACCTACAAACTGCACCACTCCAAGGACCAGAGCCCTCTAGCCAG